AATGTTCGCAAAGCAGCGAGTTTCGTGGGGTTTGTAATATTGTTTATATTGATGGTACAAATGTTGTAGCTTTTTAGATCCATTTTAATGACGATTTTTTGGCCTGGAATGCCTCTTGCTTTCGGTAGTCTTGGGTGATCCCGGTCGTTTAAATGCAGATTCCGAATGATGGTTACGGGTGCGTTGATTTTCATTGGATATCTCTCGCTGGTTCCGGTTAGGTGACTTGAGAATTTTCTCACTCACATCAATCACTTCTTGGACGAGTTGAGATGACCGCTGTCCCGTTGGGGAGGCAGCAACAGCAGTAGCGGAGTGAGCAGTAACAGCAGCAACGAAATTATCAACAACAGCAGTAGCAACAGCGGAGCACGTCTCAGCAGCAGTTTCGGTGGTGTGGAAAGCGGTGTTGGCTGGAGTAAGGACTGGCATTGGAATTTCGTCCTCGATCGAAACGAAACGTTCGCTTGGCGATATGTCCCTCGAAATACTTATTGCAGTTGTTGGATGTCCAGTTTCAATTGGTGCCTCCGGTGAATTCAGTTTTTTTTCCTCACGCAATGATTTTGCATATTCGGAGCACTTCATAGTGTAGTGCACCCTTCGGTTGCAGTGACGGCAAGTGGGGATCTGGTTTTTGTGTGTGACGAGGGTCATATGTGAGATATCTGCGGATATTGTCACATACGACGGAATGGGCTTAGAAATGCGCATTCGAACTATTCTCACTGCATTAGGAACCTTGGAAAAGGTTCCTCCAGTAGTCATCTTTTATCGATAACACCTCACCAAACTGCATCATCTGTTCCGCGATAATATGGTTTGGCATATCAAACGGCAAATCATGCAGCTCCGTTCGGCAATGAAGAACGGAATACGGTAGGTGATGTCTTTGTACCCCCATCGTGTGCTTGAGATTGTGCTCTTCAGCGAATTGTTCTGCAAATTCTATTGTATCCATCTTGATGAATACGTACGATGTGATGTTGTTGAGCTGCAATCCTCGCACTTTGCTCCAATCAAGCTGAACATCTTTCGCGATGAAATCGTCCACTCGGGACGGTTTGGGTTTTGCTGGCATGACACTGAAGCCAATCACGCATAGTTGGTGGTTGGCCATGTTTGTGTTGTGTGCTGGTGCCTTTCGGAAAAGAGTAGCAAAACTCATCGGACGGGTGTTCGGAAAAAGTAAAAAAAAAAGCAGAACTTTTTTCTCTGCCGTAGTATTACTCGTCCGTACACAGTACGGGCTAGGTGTGAACTGAGTGATGCTCCATTTTCTTCTGACGGTTGGGGCATGAGCACTAACTCTCGTCCTAGCCTTTTATGACTTATGGCTATAGCGCCATTACTCGCTTTCTGAAAAGAGAAGAGGAAAAGGAAAAGGAGAAGGACAAAGGGAAAAGGATTATATGAAATCTATGAACATAAACAATATTTTTTATGGAAATGCATAACGGCGCGGTGGTCACTACCCGAGTCATGTCACTATTATAAAGTCATAAAAATAACAAGGAATAAAATGTGATCCTTTGATTACTGGAAAATCCTGATTCCCTAGTTTGAAGTTGTCACGACTAGGGTTCGGTGGTGGATCTTACTGGTTTGAAAAGATAAAAAATTACAAAATGGAACGAACTCACCAAGTTTAGCTAATTGAACCTGAAGGCTGCTTGACATGTGTTGATGTAGAAGTCCAAATTATAGACGGAGCTTCACGAAGATCAACATGAACTAGTTCGGTTTATAGTAGCTACCCAGCGTGCTTCGGAATACCTCTGGAAACTGTTGCTAGAGTTGATTGGTGAACTGATAGGAACAATGGTGAACGACGTTAACCAAGCTGCTTATCGACACAGACCACAAATAGAACCGATTTATAGTCTCGATTCCAAGAACTTTGAGTTCAGCGCTGCTCGAGATGAAAATGCGACCAGGCTTGGTAACATTTCCGATGGTGGTCTCAGTATGGAACTCGGCGAGAAGGTTGAGGTTGCCACCAGAAGCTGTGAATGCAGATTCTTCCGTCGGTTGAGTGGGTGGTTGTCCGTTGAAGTTTTACTGCTGCACCATTCGAAGGCGCCAGATTGTTGCTGGAATAGTACCCTTCCTTGTGTCTTTTTTATTTGCATCTATCATTCTCGAGCATAGTGCTGGTCGACACACTTCCAACATGGCGTTTTCGGCAATTTTTGGATCTTCTTAGAAGGAGGATTATTCTGGTTGCGAGATACAAATTTGATTCTTCCACGAGGTTCTCCAGGGTTTCCTTGCTGGCGGCTTCTCCCAATTCGTTGACTGCGGTTTCGTCGACTTCCAGCTTCGAGATCAGTCGTTTTGAGTCCACAGACAAAACGGAGAGCTTTGAATTGGTCCGGTTTGAGCTTGTACAGATCGCTTGCCAAGGACTCAATAATCTTCTCACTGCCAATAATCGGATTTTCAATTGGCTGCTGCTGCCTCGTGATGCGATTCGTTAGCTGCAGGATGGCGTTCCGGAGTTCCACATCGGACATTTTCTTGCTTGAGGCTTCGAGATACTTGAGGGTCTTCGAGATGTTTCCAAACTTTCCCTGTCGCCAAATTGTTATATCCGTAATCAAGGCTAACAAGTAAAACTAGTTGTTGTTAGGAGCTACTGTTTATTACTTCTGACTTGGTTGGTGGTTGGAATACTAATCTCATTTCATTTTCAAGCACAGAAGGGGGTCATAGGGCCAAGTCACCAGCGAAAAATCGCTGTTCATACTGAACCAGGGTAGAGGTATAGATTTGGCATCACAGAATAATAACCACAGGGGTCAAATGAATCCTGTTTACGATACCGGATAGTAAGGAAAGCTTTTGGACATAGGGGATAGTCAGAGTAACAGCAATAATAGTGAAAGTTAGGAAAATAAGCAGGTAGAGATGGTTGCTTTGCAATGGCTATCGACTCTGTTATATATAATATAAATATATGGCCTACCGTATCAGATTCAAATTTAATGTCGTTTAATATTGCGCTTATTATTTTTATCTTTATTCTAAGCAATCTCCTTTCATACTTGTTTGTTTTAAAGTGAACTGGATGAAATGATTGTTTTATCAAAATTATGTTAAAGTTAACTACTATTCATATTTGCTAATTAATACCTAAATGTAATTTTTAATTTTATGAAGATAAGTTGCTCAGAATAGCAGCCTGTAATTCCGTACCAGAATCCGCCTCCAATTTAATGTCTTTTGTGGATTCGTAGTAGCAAAGTTGTGCTAAAAGCTAAATAGTTACCTAAAAATACTACCTAAATCGTTCACAATCAGAGCCGGGCCACTGATGAAAACCAAAACTACAACCCTGAAAAAACGAATCGATATTTTCGAAGGCGAACACAACCTATTCATGCTAGTGATTCTGTCCAATTGTTAGGTATCCAAATTATAGTCATTCGTAAATTTATTATTGAATATATGGATGAATTATCTATTATTGAATAACTATTATTTACGATAATTACATGAAAGAAATAACATATAAACTACAAACAAAACGTGACTACTAAAATCTCAAAAAGATATTCTCACAAGTATATTTCACGCAACCAGGAATCTCAAAACCATTAGACGCTATAATGATACTCTGCACATGTTAGACACAAGAAAAGGCCAAAAAGCAAGCGTCCGACACACAAAACCCGCCAAATCCACTGGCAGTCACAATCAACGATTCTACGAATCGCGAGCGCTCACGAATCATAAAACCGCTGACTGCGACACTCTGAAAGCGAAATTGACAGGCTCTATGCGTCAAACACCCGCCCTCCAATCTCCTCCCGCATCCAACAACACAAACCTCCATTACAACATCTAACGAATTCAAAACTACGAAAATCACTCATCTATAGAAAGTGAGTGGAAGCAACCCTGCATGCAACTATTCTTCATGATACGCTTTGTCTGTCTATCTTTCTATTAGGCCTGTGGACATGTGTTAGCTTCGAAACTTCTAACCAAACTAGGAAAATTTTGAAATAACAAAAAAAAAAATCAAAGGTAATTACAAGCAAAATACATATTGATTATTTTACGCAAAACCGAGCAAGTAATATTAAATCTCTTGTATTGTATGCTAATGCTAATTGACTGTAACAAAAATAATATAAAATATTAATAAAATGATATGCAAAATTTACTAGAAGGTCATTACTTTATTGGTGAGAAGTTTCTAAGAAGCCCTCCCAGTTCCTCTGTATACAGAACAAATCTGATACTATAATCAGAATTGCTCAGTCTGCATGAGGCAGCCGATTGCATCAAGGAAGTTCTATTAACAACCAAGAATTAATCGTTTGAGGTATACTGAAGCATTAAGAAGGTGATATGTGTCACTATGGGAAATCATCATCGTTGCAAATATAAAGAAATTAAACATAACCCTTTGCTTCAGTACCGTCAACCTCCATGTCCATGGGGAGGGGTTGGTGGTTGGAATACTAATCTCGTAACGAAATGGTAGAATGTTCAAACACAAATTTCTCAAAACCCTCAATACGATATATTCGGATCAACATTTCAAATTGCGAAACTAACAATGATGTCGAACTGTGAAAAACGCTGTCAAACTGCGAACTGCGAACTGCAGGTCTAAAGCCTAAGCACCTCAACTGAGTAGGCTTTTGGGACGCCGTGCAAGGTCATCGCTAGTAATTTTACCTATTTAATTACTGCACAATGAAAATGTATATTTACAATCAATACAATAGGTAGGTACTTATCTAGTAGAGCAGCGAGATACCTATTTCAGCACCAACATTTCGAAACGGCCGCACCTGCTTTGGTAAATAATCCCCCCTATTCTGCGAGTCACGTGACTCTCTCTCTCACCGGTGAGGTGACAATAGTCACGTCGTGTGAGGTGACTCTCCATTTGATTTGCATGGAGAGTCACCTCACACGAGGTGACAATTGTCACCTCACCGGTGAGAGAGAGTCACGTGACTCGCAGAATAAGGGGGAATGATTCCTCTGCTAGTCCTTGCGAGAAGTGATTGAAACACGCTTATTCGAAATGTTGCTGCTGTTTTACTTCCAGGACACACTTAAAAGTAGGTTGTGGATTTGAGTTGTATGCAACTGCTTACCTTAAATAATTTTGTATTACATATCTAAAAAAAAAAAGTGTCGCTCACTTCCGAGGTCGACCAGCGGCTTTTTTACTTGCTGCCGTTACTTTGTCTTTGTTGGCTTTGTTCTGTAGCAAGGGATGTACATCTGAAAATAGTTGGAATTTCAAGGCATTAACAATCATCATTGCTTATAATTGTCCGAACCTGGATTACCTTCAATTGGCGCATTGTCCAAAGCAATGTCAAAGGAGTTCGTTTTCCGCTTCTTGGAAGCCGGTTCGTTCTCCTTCATCGACATCGAATCGTGTCCCGAGTTGTTGTTGTAGCCCGATCCCAACGGGTCGGAATTGTCCTGCGAACCCCAACCATCTTCCGGATCTTCCACTTCTGGAGCGATGGGGAGAAATTGCAACGCAAGCTCGTCTTCACATTCTTCATCTGACGAGCAAAAAGCAGCTATCGGTTCAGCGGAAACCACATCCACTTCCACTTCTTCATCCTGTTTCGATTCAGCAGCCAGATCCACCGATTTATCCTCGTCGGTAATGTCGAATTCCGATTCCCGTTCTTCGTAGTCTACGTTTTCGTCGAGTTCTTTGAAATCTGGTGCAAAAGCGGACCAGTTTTCCACCTGATTCTGAGCCCATATCGAAACCAACCCGGAACTAATACTGGCTATGATCGGTCGAACCGGATGCCAAACGACATCCAGTAGCAGTTCACCCTTGGTTCCGTGTAGGATTTTCACGAGATTACCAATCGATTTCTCCCACACGTACAGTGCGTGTTGCCGCGCACTTCCAGCACAGATGTATTCGCCGTCTCCTGAGAAGCAGCACTTTTTCCAGGTAGTTCTAGAAAACATTTAGACCTTGCATCACAAAAGCGCGCCAACATCAAATGCTTGAATAACTTACTTATTTACCAAATCCTGTAGCTTCTGAATGGGTTCCGGTTCGCCATCTTTACCGCAGGCAACGACTTCCTTCGAATCGTAGACCCGAATTACTCGATCTGATGTATTGACGAGAAATGCTCTGAAAATTGCGATGTAAAATTTGAAATATATCTTCCCAACACGAATCCGTAGGTTACATACTCTCCTCTTCTGGCAAACTCTATGCTTTTAACTGCTGTTGCGCTGGAGGTTCCAACTGCAATTTTGAAGCTAGCCATAATGTCCAACGTATTCGAATTCAACACGAGGATTTTGCCTTTAGCGTTGCCAGAATAAATGTATATTCCTCGCCTATCAAATGAGGCAACAATGTTAAGATCTCCCTGCAACATAAAAACCATTTTCAGAGCCAAAATCCTTCAAGCACAATAGAAGCATCTTACGTCATTATCCAATGGTAAGCATTGGTGCTTCCCTCCAATGTCCACCAGAACTGCCGCATACCGCATTGGACAAACCAAAAATTTATTATCGTTTCTCGGATGGAACTGAACCTTCAAAATTGGCGAAGGAAATCGGTACTTGTGTTCGCAGTCGCCACTCATCACGTCCCAAATGCAGACATTGTTGTCCGTCGAAGCCGACAGCAGTTTGTGCCCATTGCGGGACCAACACAAACTGCACACCGGGTGTACGTGGGCGGAAATTATCTTGGCGATTCCCCTCGTCAGGAAATCCCATACAACGATCCGACCGTCATTGCAACCGACCGCCAGAAGGGTTCCATACTTGTTGAAGGCACAGGTTACCGCCAAGGAGATGCAATCCAGCGAGCCGTCGAATTCTTCCGGGTAGTTCTGACCGAAGGATTCTACCGAAATATGTAAATCATTAGTTTGCCAAATATATCGAGTTTACTAGTAAATCTTTACATATGACGCGAAAAACATACCAAGTAGCTGAAGATTCATTGCGTTTTATGAGAATCTGCGATGTATTGTGTGAGAAAATTGCAAATATCTGAACAATCGTCACGAATAAAATGAAGCCATCCGAGCGATGCAATGTAAACACAAACAACACTGAAGAAGCGAATGAGCGTGCCGCCGCCGAGCTGTCAATCTTAATCGAGGGGATTCGGATAGAGTAGTCTAGAAAGAAACGAACTATAAAAAATGTGCTATAAAATAAAACGTTATGATACACGGTTTTTGGCGAAAACACATTAATGGGGGAATTTTGATATCATAAAATTATAGATACTATCCAGTTTTGCATCGTCGTTCCCGGATAAACATACCCGAATACAAAAACATTATAACCTATTGTTACAGTGCAATAACATTTATTGTAGCATCAATAAATCTTATAGTCAAAAACAATACAAAAACATTAGAACTTATTGTTATGCACAAAAGAATCAATTGTAAACGAGACTGCTACTATAGAAAAGGGGGGTTGTTAGTTACCGTAACCATAAAAAAAATCTATTTTTTCTCTATTTTGATCTTATTACAATAAATTTAATTGTTTTTTTTTCTTTATTTAAGAGGTTTTTAGCCTAAAGGCTGGTTCACCTTTATTTAATTGTTTTTTATTGTTCAATATTTTGATAATGGGATGAATTCCAACAGGTCTCATAGCCTAGTCAGCAAAGGCACGGTATTACCAAGCAGGAGGGGGCGGGTTCGATTCCCGGTCCGGTCGAGGGAATCTTTCGGGTTGGAAATTTTCTCGACTTCCCTGGGGATATAGAGTATCATTGGGTATCATTGTGCTTGCCACACAATATACAAATTCATGCATTGGTATTGGCATCGAAAGCTCTCAATTGATAACTGTGGAAGTGCATTTAGAACACTAAGTTGAGAGCACGCAATAAGCTAATATGCGCTAAGCAATAAGCTTGAAATGCGAACAAGAAGAAGAATGAATTTTCAACATCGATGATTATCGCTTAGCGGTTTCGGATCGTTGCTTCGACGTCATCGCTCTCACTGAGACTTGGCTCGATACTCGAACATTGTCAAATCAAGTGTTTGGTTCCGAATACGAGGTTTTTCGATGCGATCGGAATCCGCACAACAGCCGCAAAACTAGTGGATGCATTCTCATAGCGGTTGGCTCTGGATTGAAGGCAAAAGTTTTCGAAAATGATACATGGAATTGTGTGGAACAAGTTTGGATTGCCATTAAGCTCGCTGACCGCACTTTGTTTTTGTGTGTAGTTTACTTTCCTCCGGATCGAACTCGCGACTCTACGCTAATTGAATCCCACATTCAGTCTATTCGAGCTATAATGGAGATCGCTACAGCTGCTGACGAGATGATAATCATTGGCGACTTCAATCTACCGGCAATTTCTTGGCGATCATCTTACGGTGGATTCCTACACACTTGGATTTTTTCTGCCGAGATGGACACTAGACTGATGCAAAATTGGAAATTTTCGCTCCATAGTTGGAACCGTTTAATTCCAAATCGGGTCCTGCTTAGCCTCCAAACATTTGAACCACTTTAGTAAGAAACTGACTTGGCACAAACCATGTCAAATTTATATGGGAATTACTATGGGAAAACTTATGTTTTTGTTCATATCTATCTAACAATATTCACCACATCACTATGTGTTTAAAAATGATAGCAGTGATTTTAGCAAATTTTCTCAGCTACAATTTTGTTCAAAAATGTAAGGAACAAAAGTTATTAATGATTCAAGTCACTGATGTCTTATGATTATGCTCAATCAACTGTTCAGCAGGCAACATTGGTGTTTCTGGTGCGAAGAATAGAACACAGTTACTATTAGCGAATTCGTTTATTATCGGAGTTAACACCAGTTCCAACCCAGTGCGAAACCGAACTTTTTGTCAGTGTGAACCTCAACCTGAGCTAGGTTTTGAAAACAAACGAGCAAACTGACGTTTGTCAGAAAACAAGCAGACCCAATCTTGATACCCGATCCAGGTTGGAACTGAACAATAAACGAATTCGCTATAGAGATTGCTGACGTTTGTCGTACGTAGTGTGCGTCACGTATACGTATACGCAAAATGTTTTCATCGGGAAAAAAAACTTCATAGCGGAATTTCCCGATGAATACAAATCACTTACACAATCATACTTTAGCAATCTCTATATGTCACACTGCAGGATACAGTGTTGCCCACAGAACAGTTGTTTGATCAAGCCATAAAATTATCAATCTCTTAAACAATTAATAACAATTTAATTTGATCTTTGGCTGAAAAACGGGATTCCGTAAAGTTGTAGCTTAGAAAATTTCCCGTAATAATAGTTATAGAAATTTTCGAAAAAGCAATATGGAAAATGGGTAGAAGACAATGAACAAAAAGTTTGGTTTTCCCATAGTAATTTCCATATAAGCTTCGAATAGTTTGTGCCAAGTCAGTTTCTTACCAAATGAGTTTAAATTTTGGGAGGCTAATCAAGACCTGATTTGAAACCGTTTGAGCACTGTGGAGCGAAAATTTGCCGGATCTCAGTGAAAAACTTGCCAGTAAAATAAATGCTCGGTGGTGCCCATCTCGGCAAAAAATCTAAGTGTGTGTATCCGGACCACGACCGTTCTACATTTCACTCTGGAGCTGTAAGTCTTTTGGATCATTACAGTATCGCCACTCTGAAGCAACACAACCACGTGGTTAATGAGAACAATCGTAGCTTAGACCTTAGCTTAGACCTTTGCTTCGTCACCACTCAGGATACTGCTCCGCATTTGTCTATGGCTGTTCCTCCGTTGATAAAGACTGTTCCACACCATCCTCCTTTAGTTACTGCACTTGAAGGCAACCAAATTCCTGAGGTCATTCCACCCCCCCACGCTGGAGGTCTCCTACGATTTCCGAAATGCTGACCACGATAGTATCGGGGAACTTCTTTCGAATTTGGACTGGCACAGGACACCGTACTCGATTACAGGAAGGATAATTTGTTTGTAGACAGCTAGCTTATTTTTTCAGGGACAGGGTTGACTTCTTGTTGATAAGTGGATACAACGATCATATCAATATGTTGCACTTGGTTTTGTCAACGTGCTCCCTGAAAAGAAGCTTGCTGTCTAGTGTTAACCCGAGGTACACGACCTCTTTGGACCATTTCACCACTGTGTCGTTCAGGCAGATCTTGCTATTCTCCGACGAAACAAGTCTGGGAGATTTAGAGTGTGGAAAGATAATGACCTGGGTCTTTGCCGCGTTGATACGGATCTTCCAGCTGTTGAAATATTCAGACAGGACGTACAGGCCTCTCTGAAGTTTGGCAGTCAGAGCTCCGATGACCCTACCCTTTTAGACGATGGATGTGTCATCTGCGAACAGAGACAACGATCCACCATCAGGGAAAGTCAGCATATCGAAGGTGAACAGTAGACTGATGCAAAATTTGACTTTTTCGCTTTACAGTGCTTAAATGGTTTCAAATCGGGTCCTGATAAGCCTCCCAAAGTTACAACTCATTTGGTTAGAAACAGACTTCGCACAAGCCATTTGAAGTTTACATGTAAATTACTATGGGAAATCTCAAATTTTTGTTCATTGCCTTCTAGCCTTTTTCCATATTGAGCTGCGAAAAAGTTTGATAGCCATTCTTATATAAAATTTTCTCAGCTACAATTTTGCTAAAAATCGTTTCTATGTAAAACGAGACAGGAAAAAGTTATTAATTATTTAAGAGATTGGTAAACTTATGACATGATAATGCAGCTGCTCTGTAGGCAACACTGTATTTTGCGGTGTGACTACTATGGCTACTATAGCCATGATTTTTGTGTCCTATTCAAGGCCCAGAAACACCAATGTTGCCTGCTGAGCAGTTGATTGAGCATGATCATAAGACATCAGCGCATTGAACCATTGATAACTTTCGATCCTTGCATTTAATCAAAAAGTGGTCTTGAGCAAAGTTGTAGCTGGGAAAATTTCCTATAAGTACAGTTTAAAGCTTTGGAAGCAGACCGATATGGTGAATTATTAGATAGACATGAACAAAAATCTTGGTTTTACCATAGTAATTCCCATACAAACTTCAAATGGTTTGTGCCATCTCAGTTTCTCACCAAATGTGTTCAAATTTTGAGAGGTTAGTCAGGATCCGATTTGGAATCATTTAAGTATTGTGGAGCGAAAATTTCAAATTTTGCATCACTCTAGTGAACAGGTTGAATAGATAGGGGCCAAGGATGCTTCCTTGTGGAACCCTAGCACCGATGTTGAAAGCATCCGATGTGATGTCTCTCAGTGAGACTCGGAACGTCCTGTTCGATAGATAGTTGTTAATAATCTTCACTATGAAGATTGGAAGAACGTAGTGCTGTAATTTGAACACCAGGCCATCATGCCAGACATTGTCGAACGCTTTTTCAACGTCCAACAACGCCATGGCAGATGTTTTCGAAACAGACTTGTTCCATCTGAGAATGTTTGTTACTCGAGTGGTGGACGGTCGAACGGCCTTTCCGAAAGCCAAACTTTTCCTCGAGTATCAAGTTGTTTTCTTCGGCAGATGTTAGGAGCCGCCGGTAGACTGCTCTTTAGAACAGTTTTGATAACCCTGAGAGAAAGCTGATTGGTCGATAACTTGAAGGAGAGGACAGATCCTTCCCAGGTTTCCGGATGGGTATGACTTTAGCTGACTTCCATCACGAGGGGAAGTAGCTAAGTCTGAGGTACAGATTAAAAATCAGTGCCAGATGGTTGTAGAATCTGGAACTCAAATGTTTGAGTTCCAGATTCAGGATGTTGTCGAAACCGTTGTTTTTAGATGTCAGCCGTAATCTCAGATTCCTTTGGAAAAATGTTAAGAATCTGATGAAGATTGGTTGCATTTTCAGCAACCTCAGGTTCGTGAGGGCTGACGATGTTTTGTCCGAGATTATGGGAGCTGACGAAGTGTTGACCTATCGCGGTAGCCTTCTCTTCAGGAGTTATCAGATGAACCACAGGGTCGCTTGAACGATCCAGTGGGGTCAGTGGTGGAATGGATCTTGGCTTATTTTTAAGGATTTTCGTTAGTTTCTAGAATGGCTTTGCACAACCACGGACCAAATTTTCGCGATTCGACGGACATTGTTGCCGTAAT